GTTGAGATTAAGTAGTAAGTCATTATTATACATATTACTTTAACAGTACTTCTCTAACTTATAAAACTATACTATAACTTATAAAAGTGCTCATATCTGATATGTTTTAGTTAGAGTGAATTTATAAACACAAATAGTACTTAGGAGAAGCTTCCCTAACTGTAGAGAGGTTAGGGGAAAATGCTCTTTTTTAGCAAACTTAAATATGTATTATACTTATATGTATACTCTGTACCTTAGTTATAATTCAATATGTAAATTAATAATAAAGTAATATTCATCATTTAGATTAGCTTATAGTATTGTACAATCAATTTTGGGGCCAGGAAAACTCATATACATGAAATATAGGGAAAACTCACATTTTGTGTTGTATCTTACTCAATTTTTGCTCATTTCACTTTAGTTTTCCTGGAATATGAAAGTTAGTTTAAAAATATAATTTTTACAACTTAGATCATGTAATTTGGTTAAGTATTAGTTGAGATATAGTAGATTTTGTATTTGAGTGTACTTAGTATGACAAAAATCACAAATTGCATGTGTGACAACAATTTTGAAAACAACTATAATACACAAAGCAAACAAAACATTTATATTACAAATGTAAATAATATTAGTAAAAACAACAGACAAATACATATCAAACATTATATTAGCCTAATCAACTAGTATAAGTTTGAAGGAGAGTGTTACTGTAACATTTATTTCAGATAAATGTGTCATATGTCTCAAATTGTTAGGATTACAGGATTGGACCTATTTCATTTTCTTCATATCTTTGTCAGTTTTGTAAAAAAACCAACATTAGTACTAGATTTTCATAATCCTTAACATCTTATCTATTGTCCTACAAAGTTTTATAGAGATCAGCTTAGTATTGAGTACAGGAGAGAGTTACAGAGACATAAGGTAGTATATACAATTACAATGTAGCTAATCCATTTCTTGTCCAATATAGTAACTTGTGCCTTTCTTATATAATAGCCTCTTAACCTATATTCTCTAATATACAACACTCTATTAATTCTTCCTAGCCTCTGATACACCTGTTGGCTTTATAATATTTGTTCTTATTATTTCTTTTATCTTATTCTTAAGTTTTATTCCTTACTTTACTCTTATTATTTAGTTATTATAAAAAGTAGCTTGTAGATACAGTAGTTCCTTAGTTTTTTAACTCTTCTTATACTTCTACTTGTTCTCTTAGTATAAATCCTAGCTAGTAGCTTTGGGAATATAGTTAGATTAGGACTGTAGGTCTACATTTACAGTTTGAGAGTATTATTAACCTAAAGAACACATCTCCTCTAACATAAGAGTCAAAAAACTTATCTCTACCTTAATACTACTCTTAATCTAAGTTACTACTCAATTAATATCCTCCTAGTCTAAGCTACTACTCAACTATTCTCTCTATCCAATCCTACTCTCCTTCAAGTCTGAACTACTGTTTGATTCATCTTATATAGTTAGAGCTACTACTTAACTTTCTTAACTAGAGTTACTACTCAGTTACTCTCTCTACCTCAATCCTCTCAATCTCCTCACTCTGCCCAATCTGAGCTACTACTTAATTAGTTTACTTAAACTAAGCTGCTACTTGTTTGAGTATTCCTTACTCCCTTTATAAACATACTATTTACTTTCTTAAAGAACTATTAAATCAATTTACTATTCTACAGTATTTGACAAAAGTATTACACAGACCTAATCTATTAATTAAAAAAGATTATATACAGACAACTAAGAACTATAATTATGAGATATAAGTACTATTATTTACTGTATAATATAGCAAAAAAAATGAGTTAAAAAAATAACTATATATATTCTAAAATAAGAGAAAACTTGTGAGATTGTACAAATGGTCATGTGTATTTTTTTTGGTCATACCATGCTGCAAAACATTGCACCATACTAGTACTCCATCACTATCAATAATACTCTGTCTTTTGCTCAATTCAGACTACTCTGGATCTGCTGAAATGGCTCCATATCTTACACTAACAAAAAAGTAACATATCTTAGACTAGAAGAGTCAAAGGTTGAGTAACATTGAAATTGCATGAAAACTCGGTTGCAATGCATTGACAGTCTCCTGGAACTACTGTAAGCTGCTCAAAAACCCTAACCTGTACTATGTCAAACCCAAACCAGGCTGTCTACACAAATTCAACATTTATAAAGTATACTATACTGTCTATTTACTTGCTTTAGGCAAAGTAAAGGATTCCAGCAACCTTAAACACAAGTACTTCCTGTCTGATTCTGTACAAACCATTCGTTGTGCTCTCAAAGGATATGGAATAGTGGCCTGTGTCCCTCTCATTAAACCATACTTGTCTAAGAAGCATATCACTTGTAGAAGATATTAGGCTAGCAAACATTGGTTTTGGACTCTTAAAAAGTAGGAAAAGGTTATTTTCTCAGACAAGACGAAAATCGATCTATTCAAGCAGGATGGAAGGAATATCATGTACAGGAGGGAGGGGGAGTCACTCCATGCAAAGAACATAAAGAAGGTCATCAAGCATAGTGGTAGACATCTTATAGTTTGAGGATACATTACTACACATAGTGTTAGCTGTCTTCATCACATCAAAAAGAATATGGACTCTAGCCAATACATCCAAATCCTCGACAAATCACTTCTTGGCACCCTTTCTGACTACAACATTCTACACACCAAGTTTCTCTTTCAGCAGGATAGAGATCTGAAGTATAAATCTTGAGTAACATCAAAATGGCTACAAGAAAAACAAATCAAACTTCTCAATTGGGCCCCTTCAAGCCCAGACATGAACATTATTAAACATGTCTAGCACTATCTCAACAATAAAGTACAAGCTCGAAATCCACTTCTAAGGAATGTTAATGAATTGTGGAGGATTTTACAGGAGGAATAGTACTAAATAGATAATGAGTATATTACAAGTTTGTATACTAGTATGCCCAGACAAGTTAATGCATTGGCAAAGGCTCAAGGAGGGTATACTAAATACTAAATCACTATATTAATATAACAAGTTTTTTTAATACAAATGTGTAATATAATAAAATTATTAAAAGTAATTAAAAGAAATGCACAGACACTTTTTCTTAAATTAAAGTATATTAATTATTATAAGTAAGTATTAAGTCTAATTATTATACTAACATTATATACACAAGGTCTACTTTAATAATACAGTATTTATTTAATATAAGCTAATATAATAATAAATTTAATAAAGAAAGAAGTTTGTGAAATACTAATGTGTAATACTTTTGTCAAATACTGTATTAATTCTTTATTGTCTCTTACTCATTTGTTATTTCATTTTCTATTATTTTATACTCTACTTTTAAGGTTGAATCACTACCATCCTTCACTCTCTTTTACTCTTTTGAGTTTGTGTGTTGTCTTTACAATTTGTATAGTTATACTCTTTTTTAAACACTTTTTAACTTACTACTTTTGAAACTTAATCTCTAGTATTGTTCACTAGTTGACTAGAGTCTTTCTCAAGTAGCAACACCTTTAGGGACCTTACAGTCCAAAAGTCCAGTATTGTCTTACAGTTATTTTGTGTTATTAGTTAAGAGTTACTAGATTATACTTAGAACAGAGTATATATAAGTAGCTTAAGAGTTTAAAACTAAAAGATTAAAGTTGCTTAAGTAGTAAACTAGTTAAAGGAACTGTTCTTAGAGCTTAGATATTGTTTATAGTTATTCACACTAACCTCTAACAAAGACC